ACTCTTGCTCAGGCTGGTCTCGAACTCCCGAGCTCGAGTGATCCTCCCGCCTCGGCCTCCCAGAGTGCTGGGATTACAGACGTGAGCCACCATGCCCGGCTTGTATTACTTTTATGGATGGCGTTTTTGTAAGAATATTCCGGAAAGTAAGGAAGACAGGAAACAGTCTCAGCTGGTACACAGCCGGACTTCAGAGATCTGAGTGGCATTCGGGATATTTCAGAAGTTCAGACAGCGTCAGTTGTCTGTTTTTGTCCCCATTTCATCCCCACACCTGTGCTTGTCACGTAGTAAGTGCTCAGGCATTAATTTAATGAGTGTGTTTCCGTACTCTGCTGTGCCTGTCGGCTCTTTCTCCCACACTCCCAGCTAACAGTCTGTCCACACGGTGGCTTCTGCTTCCTTACAGCCTCGCTGCCTCGTGGCTTCTGCTTGTTTACTCCTCTCAGTGTGTCTGTCCTTGGTCATACCGTCGCGTTGCATGCAGGTTGTATGATATACATCTCATTCCGACTCTCAGAGAGAATCACTGGGGTAGGCAGGACCCCTCCAGCATGGAGCGCGATCAAGAGTGAAACGATCGGGCTTCCATGGCTGCTCCAGGCCGAGGACCTGGCCCCGCTCTAGTTATCTGCGGTCAGCTAGCAACGTCACAAGGTGTGAGGTGTGGTCCTGCTTATAAGGAGAAAGCGGTATGGCAGACACTTTGAATATTGTTTCTGTAACAATAAATTAGGGTCTTGTTGGTACTCACTTATGTTCTAGACCATTCTAAGATATGGGAGAACACTGTGTCAGGCTAGTTCATGGTTGTATTCCCAGAACTTGGCACAAGCTTGGTTCGTAGTAGGTAGTGGAAAAATACTGGCTGAATGAAGGCTGATTAAAGAGGAAATCCTGTGATCTCAGATGTATCAGGGACACAGTGGGAAAGGCTGGAGAATAAGGCAGATGTACTCGAACAAAACTTTTATCCTGTAAGTGAGTCGTTGTAGTTAATGTCAAACCACGGAAGGCTTTGCTAATCAGACGAAGCTCAAGTCCAGAAAGACTCCATGCCACTTGATCCACTGTTGTGTCAGATTCGGAAGCAATGAGTACACAATACGGAACTTCTACCTAGTACCTGAATTTTGTCATTACCGTGGGAGAGCTGCCCTAGGCTACAAATCCCAGAGCTCTTCCTTTTTCCATAGAATGTCACCTTCTTTAAAGTCACTAGAGCAGCCTTCAGAAGAGGGACTGTTCCTGGGAACATCACCGGGATCAGGAGTTGTTGCAAGGGCTGCTCTGTGTTGGCATGTTGACACTGAGCTGGAAATCGAATTAAGGAATTTTCCAGATTTTTTTTTTAAAAAGGGTCCCTAGGGCTAATGATCTCGATTTCTACCTCCGTCTCCACCGTCGCACACGCGACCACCACCGCCGACGCAAGGCTGAGCTCTTTCTCGGCGCCCTATCTTTGACTCAACCTAAGAATTAGAATCGAGAAAGAATTTTCACGTGGTGTTATTTTGAGGGTTGAGCTAAAGTTCTTCATGGCTCCACATTTGGGTTTCGACCTTTGATTGGTGCAGTGGCTCCAGGTACCGACCACACTGCTTTCCACGTATAAGGGCCGCAGTGAACAAGGGCCGCAGTGAACGCTGACTGACTTGAATTATCAGTGTAAATCAATAAGGCCATTGTTTCAGGTCACTTAATACCATTTGGTTTCATTATCTCTGTTCATTGTTACAACTAATGTTTGCCATCTTGACTCCAGTTTTAATCAGGGTTAGAAAAATACAGATAATATGCAGAGATTAACACAGACTTATAACCATACTGGGAAACACTAGGCAGTCAGTTTTCTGGGCAATAGTAAAGTCAGGATGCTGTATTGGACCATACAAACTTGAGTCAGAACCCTGGCTCTGCCACTTAGCAATGTGACTTTAGGCAGGTTACTTATGAACCTTATTTAAAGCTTTAGTGCCCCGTCTGTAACATGGAGGAAACAATGGTACTATTTCATGGAGAGAGTGGTAGGGTTTAAAAGCCGTAATGTGCTGGAAGCTCGTTACCACAGGGCCCGGCACGAAGTAAGCACTCAGTAACATTAGCTTGCCATCAAGAGTGGTGTTCTGAAAAATGTAATTCTTTTTGACAACATAGTAACATGGATGGAATCAGTCCCCCCGACCGCCCCAAGGAACAGAAATTCAGCAATAGTTTTCTTTTCGCCCCTTAAGTAATACTTACATTTAGGATAAAAAGAGATACAGTTCATGTCCTTGGCAATATACAAACTGACCACAAACTTACAAGTGCTATTTTTCTATCCGGAGGTAAAGAATAACATCTTGATCTGTAAATTCAAGATGTTTTCTGCTAAATAGTTTCTGAAGTTTATTGAGGCATTTCTGGGGTTGTACTCCATGGATCATGCATAGAAAGAATTCATTACCTCTTCACAGTGGGATTTGTGGTGATAACTTTTTATTTTAACTTTACAAACATGATTAATGAGAAAATTACTGATGACTCGAATTGATGTCTGAGAAACTGACACATTCTCTGATTTTCATTTGTGGTTATGTAGGCGAAACAGGCATCGGCAAATCCACGTTAATGGACACTTTGTTTAACACCAAATTCGAAAGTGACCCAGCTACTCACAATGAACCAGGTGTCCGGTTAAAAGCCAGAAGCTACGAGCTTCAGGAAAGCAACGTGCGCCTGAAGTTAACCATCGTTGACACCGTGGGATTTGGAGACCAGATAAATAAAGATGACAGGTACATCTTGGGATTTTGTGGGGGTACAAATGGATAAGGAAAGAGCAGGATCCATCCCAGGTGTTCCAAGGCTCAATATTTTTGGTGTGGGGTTTGATCTACTATCTCCTAAAAGATATGACATTCTTGTCCTCTGAGAAATTTTCCTTGAGGTCAGAATCAAGACCACAAGCTTGATCTCAGCTAGTATGAGCAGAAAGGGATTCATTAGAGGGAGTGAGGCTGCGTATGGCATTTTTCCATTAAGGTCATGGAGCCAGGTTTTGGGGCTTTCCCACCAGGAAAAGCAAGCTAGAGAAACACCTGGGATTTCTGCCTTCACCGCTGCCCGCAAGAAGAACCTTGTCCCTGTGTGTGGCTTCTGCCTGTGTCGCCCACTCCCTGCTTCCAGGCCTTACGTGGCTGCATCTGCTTGGGAGACATTAAACCACGTCCACAATACCAGCTGCAAGAGAGCCTGGGAGGTGTGGTTTTCGGTTTCTTCAACTCTGCACAATGAGAAGGCAATCAAAAAGCAGAAGGAGTTTGGAGTGAGCCCCTGCCACACTCTCGCGGGCCCTGAGGCAGATCGGGATTTTTGACTTGATCCCACAGTCTTACAGATGTGAATGAGGACCCAGAGTCGGCGCGGTTTTGCACAAGAAGCCACGGCCAGGATTTAGAAGAGCCACGTTGTAGGTTGGGTTCCGCCCCTGGCAAGCCGGGGACCCTGGCAATAGATGTAACTTTAAGGGAATTACGCTGGGTATCTGCTCAGGCCTCTTCCAGTGGGGTTCTTATCCAGGCCTGTTCTTACGTTGAGGCCTGAGGAAGGACGCTGAGGACGGTTAGGCCTTGGAGAGGGATGCGGTAACAATAAGGGGTTATCCTGTATTTTGATGGCTTTTGGCAAAAGTGATACTAGCTCCTGAAGCCCCACAGTGAAGAAAGCGTTGTTGTGAATGAGCTGTTGGGAAGCTCTTAGTTGGTTCCGGTTGGCACAGGGCCTTCGTGTTGATAGTGACGGTGTGGTGTGAGGCCTTTGCGGGTCCTCTTGTGCGTGTCTGAGTCTTCCCACAGACGGCTCGACGTTAGGCGGCACTTGGGTGCACTCACCAAACTGAGTCTGAGTGAGGACTGGGCTTTCACTCAAGTCTGATGAGGAATTCAGGTCAATTGGGTGGATTAAAGTTTCCCTCTCCATGCAGAGAAGACTCGTTCAGCTAATTAGGTAACATGTACAATGAAATTGTGTGTACGTGGGAAAAGGACATGATTAACCTACCAAGAAACAAAATATTTGTTAAGAATTTTGGTCTCGGACGGGTG